CTTCTTTCCCTTTCGCCCCCCCTGTCTCCCCCGCGTTTCTTCCCTGGCCGCCCCCCCGGCTCCCCCCCCCTTTCTTGTGCCTTTCCCACCGGTTCCCCCTCCAAAAACTCCCCTCCCTTTCTGCGTCCCCCCTTTTTCCCCCCCCGGGCCCCCTTCGGGGTTTTTGGGGGGGGCGTGCAAATACAAAAAGCGTCAGGGGGGAGAGGGAACCAGAGGGATCATCTCACAACATCACATCGACACATATCAAATTGGGAAAGCTGGTACCAGGTACAAGATTGGCGTCAAGAGCTATTATAGTAGGTAGCCAACACCCCCACGGTATTTCTGTGTAGGTTTGCTTGACGGGTGTTGTGTTGACTTTCTTTCCCACCCCGTGGTTCCCCGCCTCTCACGCCCAAAACACGCGTTCCGTCGCAAAGACGGTTCTCGCCGAAATGCGTTGATGGAGAGTCCTCACTGACAAGGACACCGAACCTCGTCGCCTCTAGTTCTAGCTAACCAGCTAACCAATATTTCGTAGCTTGCTTCTTTCTGTCTGAGGCAGCAGGGTTATTGCTGTCGGTCGACTCCAACGCTGCATGGTGAAACTGTCGACTTCGGGTAGCAAGCCGCCAAACAAGAAACATGCCAAACGTGACGTGTTGGCGGTAACAACAACAACAACAACAACAACAACAACAACAGCGCGGATCCGAACCAAATAGCGTACCTTTTGATCCGGGTCTTGAATGAGGTAGAGGTACTTGAGCGTCTCCGCCAAGAAGAATGATTCCATCCGGTCCTCCGGCTGCCTATTGGGGTCATTCACGTTGGGGAAGGACCCGAAAGCCACGGGCAATCGACAGTGTTTCTCGAACGCCTGTTGCGAACGAACAACGAGGGACGGGGAGGGAGGGAGCGGTGATCTTAGCCAAGATACGCGTCGTGCATTAATCAGCGGTAGCGCATTTCCCATTCACGTACGTACAATAGTAGCTTGCAGAGTTTTGATCGGGGCTATTGTACGTTGCAACCAGCGTCGTTTTCCACATCACAATTATCGTTTTCCAGAACCTACGGGCGAACTTGCTGTGCGAGCAAAGTCCCGTCTCGAGCGCAACTTACCAACCGCGCAAGACCATAACTTACACCACTATTACCACCGCCACCTCCTCGTTGTTTTCTTGCCATATCTTTCTCTATCCAAAAACATGCCTGGAAAATGTTCCAGCTCCAATCTCGGTAGATGGGGTCCCCCGTGATCTGGTGCAACACGTACAGGGCCTCCGCGGTCTCTGGCCTCAAGATGTTGTACGCCGCCTTCGGAGGCACGACCATGTCCTGCGAGGGTAAAAATAGGTACAACGTACACGTGCGATGCGAGCGGAGTACGTTCACTGCGCTGGGTTTGCACATAGCCACGGCAGTCGGACTAAGCGTCAATTACCGTCTGCGCCATCGATGCTAACTGCTGGATGTGCATAGAGTTTTCCAAAGGGTGTCAAGCCAACCAAAAGACACGTCAACCAGCAACACCCACACATCACAGACAAGCCTTCGTGTGGTGCCTTAGCAGCCTCCTTTGACCCCCGGTATACACACCGTTATCGTTCATCCACAACCATGAATATGTGCACTGCATTTGCGCGCCCATTTGGATGGAAATGAGGGCAACACAGGCACGTATTCATGTTCATCGGTAGTCTGCCCTCTGACTGACCAACACAAACGTCTCTCGTTGATGGTACGTTTGTTTCTTGATACGTGAATTGAACTTTTACACCCTCTGTCGTTTTCGTTTTGGCAGCGAGTGCGGAGGCCGACCTCACCTTTCCCTTTTCGAAGGTGACCATCTCAGGAGCGAGCCCGGTCTTCTGCCGTTCGTACATCTGGTAGCAGGTGTAGGCCAAAGCCTACAGCAGCAGCATCATCATCACCAGTAGCAGCAGCAGCAGCAGCAGCAGCGGCAACAAGGGCGAAACATGTCAACAGCAGCAGTGAAGGACGTCAGTCAGTCGAAAAAGCAACACCAAGACCATCAGGAAACCGCAACTACAGCAGCAACAGCAACACCGGAAAGAAGCAACCAACACCGCCGAGTCACAAACACCGAAAACAAGCACGCTCTTACGTTGCAGACAGGCCAGCATGAAAGACACCAAACAACGCAAAGGGGCTGCTGCCATTCCCATGGCAGCAGCCGAGAAAACAGGGGTAGAAGCCAGGGGGCACACAGAAAGGGAACACAGACGAGTTCGTTTAAAATAGGGTATTCTCATCATGATATGACGTTATATATTCTGCGCAACCCCCTTTGCGGCTGTCACCCAGGCTCTCGTCATCTCGCCAAAAAAAAAGGGGCGGGAACGAATCCCAACCAATTTGAAGCGGCGGTAGCACCAAGTCACTCTCACAGGGAGAGACTTTTTTACACGCACGGACAAAGCGAGCGCCTAAAAAAAACACCCCGATTGCCAGTCCTCACAAAACCCCATGCCTTGTTATGACAAGGCATCGATTGCACGCAGCGCTCACAGAGGCCGCTTCCCTACAATAAGGAACGGGTCGTTAGTCCTCAACAAACCCCGGCTGTAGTGGCGACCCAACATCTGGGCAACACTAGAAAGAAACCTTAGACAAGTCTCTACAGCTTGGTCAACCCGAAAAAGAAACCTTACGCGAGTCTCCAAAGCTAGCTTGGTACAGCAGTACATACGATCACATACCTTGGCGGTCTTGAGGTCCCTGTCCGCCCTCACGGGGTCGTCCGTGGTCTTCGAACCGAGCGCCAGGGTCCCCGCCAAGAAGCACACCAAGTGATCCATCTGCCCATCCAATCCACGGACCCCCCAACCCCGACATTTGTTTTCACCACAACGTTTTTTTTTGGAAAAAGGAAAACACCGAGTGGTTAGTAGATGTCACAGAACAAGGGCGCGGAGTAGTTGGCACTTGAGATGTTACAAAAAATCGCGGGAGTATGTGATGGGGGTGTACCGATTGGAGAGAGAGAGAGGAGATGTTTTCATTCTAAAAACCCTACTAATAGGCATATGAGGACAAGAAAATAACTTGAGGAGGAACGTCGGGAGCAAACGTATCGCGCCCATCCTTGACTTGAGCTACACAAATACACAGCAGTGGAGCAGTCAGTGATTGTGTCTGAGACAAACGAACAAAGACGCGACCGAGAGCCCAACCAGATGGTTGATTGATGCCTGCTGGTCACAATATTTCAACACCTAGATCTTGCGTGCTTCTGAATATTTTCACTTCTTCCTGCGGTTGTGCCGCCGCCGCCCGCCGCCGCCGCAGCAGCAGCAGCAGCAGCAGTAGCAGCAGGGCCCACTTCAAGTCTCACCGGAGTTTCCGAAACAACAGCAGCATGAATACCACATCATGATCATCACGCATCACCAACAATGCGCCCACCTTATCCACGTTCTTGGAGCCGCTCAAGTCGCTCACGTACGTCAGTCCGCTGGGATCGCTCTTGCGGAGCAGCTTGCTTGTCATCCCGTCCATCGCACGGTCGTACCTGCATCATCCCATCAACATCCAATCAACATCCGATCAACCAACCAACAAGATGGTAAGATAGCCGCCAACAAACCATACCAAACCGAGCACAGGTAGTGGAATGAACCAACAAACAAGATGGATGACCCAACCCTAACCCTAACCCCACCAACAAGCCTTGTCCCCATCTACACTAGGAGGGCCCATCTCCTCCATACAGTACATACAGTACATAAACATACATACGCGAAGTTGGGGTCATGCGAAAACGTTCTCTCCATTCATTCGAATTTTGTTTGCTAGAAGGGGAGGGCACGTGTCAGCTGTGTGTCCACGAAGCCCCTTTCGATGGTCATGATCCTTAAACCACACTCGTGGCACGATACGACGACGGACACGTGACACCGGCGGCATTCATCTAGACTCATATGGTCCCATACATGACCCAGCGGCGATGATCATGATATCCCAAACAAACACAACAATAACGGCGGACAAACTACAACGGCGGCATTTCTCTAGACTCACATGGTCCTATACTTGGTCTCTGTCTTGCCCCCCTGCAGCCACGCCTTCAACAGGTACTCGTAGAAGGAATCTCCGAGAGCACCAAAGGTCACCTAAGGGCGGACAGGTGTGGGATAACGTACTGTACTGTAAGCATACGTGATTCTTTCTCGTATTTCGGCCGCACGGGCGTTGTGCACACATACATACGCGACGATCAACGACGACAGCCTTCTACGACCACCACGTTGACGTTCTCAGCAACCATACAAAACAACGTCCAAGGCAAGCGCAAAACAAGAGAGACCCCTCCCCCCCCCGCCTCCTGATCCCCCTGCCGCTGTCAAAAGAGACGAGATTCAGCAAAACACGGCAATGAGTTAACCACCCTGCCAGACCTCCACAAGCGCCACATGAGGTCCTGTGTAAAAAAACAAAGAGCTCGGACCAAAAATGGGGCGAATTTCAACAAAAAAACGCAGCAGCGGCGAGATCAATCAAGACGCGCTAAGAACTAGCAATCCTTTCCTACCCAATACTTCACACTGAACCAGAAAACCGATCGAGTGAGGTACCTGTGAGCCGACTGTCTGTCCGTTGGACGGGTTGACGAAGATGGGGTAAAGGCCGTCCTTTGACGGGAGGCCGTACATGTGGTCGAACACCTTGTTCACCTTGTCCGCGTACTTGGGTATGCCCGTGATCTTGCTCAGGTACCGGAACTCGACCTGCAGGGGTGCGCAAGCAGCACAAGACCATAACCACAGAAACTAAAGAAAAAAACTACACACTAAACTAAAGGTGGGGGTGCGGTGTCGTGCGCATGCAGATGACCACAAAACAGAAAAAAAAACAATCGAGTGGGATATACATGCATATAGATGAAAATGGGCTCTATTTTATTGCGCTGGTCTGTGGTTCAAAGCAATGTGTGAGGCATGTGACGTCATATGCCAGAGAAGAGAAATTTTCGTCGGAGGAAGAACAAGCCAAAGCGCCAAATGAGGTGATACAGTACTTGGTGAGAGCTCGGGTTGTTGTTACACAAATATTTTCAGGAAAAAAGGGGGGGCGGGGGAGGGGGGCAGTCAGTTGATGTGCACGGATACTGTACTGAGTAGCGCCCGGAACGGTATTAATGTCAAGGCAATAGCACCAAAAAACCCTTCCCTTCAATAGCGTCTCTCTCTCTCTCTCTCTCTCTCTTTTTAAAAAAAAGCAAGTGCCTTGGGGCGTCCAATGTTCACCTGTAGCGTGCCGATTTCCGCCAGCACCGACTTGGAGCCGCCGGAGTTCTTGTGACTTCGGAAGCTGACCCGTGCCGTCGGGATACCCGTGTTCGTGTCGAACGCCGGTAGCAGCAGGTCTGCGAGCTCAATCGCCTGGTGACGTGTTCCATTTATATAACGATTACGTTTGGGTGGTGCGGGGACAGGGGACAGAGGACAGGGGACAACAGACGCGATGAGCCTGAGGGTGCACACGGGTGTACCCATCCTGTAAGCGGGACGACCGACGAAACTTCATGTTCGCTCGAGAGACGCAAAACAGGAAAAACACCTAAAACGCACGCAAGTGGGTGGTTTTTGGGGAGGAGACGGGCCTGTGGCCACGGAAGGCGTTCACATCAGTTGGACCGGTGTGGACGTTAGAATGTGCTGAGCAGATACCGGAACAGTTTTTCATATGGCGAAAGACAACAAAAACAACAACAGCACAATAAAACATGCATACAATTAGCAACACAAGGTAGGGAGGGGTCACAAAAAGAGTTTCCGGGTTGACCGTGATGAAGCGAGTAGCAATCTCCCCAGTGCAAAGCGACGTCTAACACTTGAAGGCAACCTACGACGCTAGCATGGGAGAACGAGATGATGCAGCAACAATGATGCTGTCTGATAGTTTTGAGCCCTCTTGTCCTTGTACTTGAGAAACAGTCCAACTCCCGCCCGCCCCCCCCCCCCCGTTGGGACAACCCTTGACTAAAAAAAATGCTCCTGGTTTGAACTCCCTGCCAGAA